GTACCACATCAGAAGGAGTAACAGCTTCCCTGTCTATCTGCTTATTTGAACATATTGGCAATATGCTGTGATTTAAATCTGTATTGTTTGTTATTTGTTTTTTGTTACTTTTTATTATTAAATGTAAAAATTGTATCTTAAATTATTATGAATAATAATGATCATGCCTTTTTCTTGTCATTCTAAATTCACTGCCTTATTAATTAGTATAGTCCTAAACTCCTTCCCCTCCCCCCCCCCCCTCCACCATAGCCCTACATGTCAATTGCTGCGCCTTTTGTTTATTGTTATTTACTAATGTCATAGGCATAATTATTACAAATAATTAAATAAGTTTATCACCAAGCTTCTTTACTTATCATAACCAATAATATGCCCAGACTCGATACATGTAGCATTAGTTATACTAAGAAAAATGCCTATAACTTATTTATAGTATAAAGTGTAAGCCTTAAATATAAGTTAAATCTAAGTAGTTATGTGTGAAATGCTTGACACTAGTTAATGTAGGCCTAAGCTTCTTGCTTATCGTTTTTAATAGATAACTTGATCAATGTAATTCATCTAGTTTAAACAGTGCCACCAACAATTAAATTCTTTCCACCTTCGAAAACTACGCCATTGGCATTAGTGCACATATTTTATCGATAATAGGTAATGCGGTGTTAAACCGACGCCATGGCGTTGTCAAGGCTGAAGCACTAGCTCAATGATTTGACATGTATGATGACTCGTAAACAGATGTTGTGAATGTCATAAAACTATTATTATAATAATAATGTAATGGAGACTTAAAGCTAATGGCAAGACACTTAGAATGTGTTTAATACGTAAACTTATTTAAAATGTGACAGCACCATACAGGACATGTTCGCGAGATAAACTCATTAGAATCATGCAATCGATTTCGGCTTTAAGATTGTCATGATGCTGGTAATTTTCTCATTGAAACATATAATATGACTACACTAGAATATCTGTATCGAATATGTCTGAAAACTCCATTCCAACAGTGAGTTTCGGCATTCCTCAGAAAATCTTGAGTTTTTATAAAGACTGCATCAAAAAGTCTGGATGTGGTCGTACTAAATTGAAACAGCGGAAGTCGAAATGCCTAGCCTATAAATATTAAATACAATAAATTATATATATATATATATATATATATTATATATTATAGGGGGCCTAATGTTAATGTAGTAGAGGTCATATTATTATTAATAATTAATAATAATATTTATTATAATTATTAATTATTAATTATCATTATCATTATCAATATTATTATTTTATTATGAGATACAACTGTTAATTAGAAAATGTTGTTCTAACAGTTCTATTACCATATATTATATAGATCTAGGGTAATCTATCGTTTTGGGTACGTAAAATCGCCCGCGGCTATTAATGTACGAAAACGTTACCTCATTGTCAAGGCTGTAATAGAAGTATATTGTGATATGTTTGTGTCAAATATTATAGATAAATGAATAATAAACCTAAATCAATGGCTAAATATATCAATATAGGCCCGAAATTAACTTTAAACAGCAGTGTCTGCAAGCAAGATTTGCTATATAAACAGCAGCCATTTGTAAAATAGAGTGACTTCCGCCTGAATCTTGCGCTATAAGTCTATAAAAATAAAACTTTAACAAGATGGCTGCTATAGTAAATGAGCATGGTTGCATCTGTTGGAAACATCGCTGGTGTTCATTTATTACTGACAAGTTTTAATTCAATTGTTTAGAAACAGGTACATAAATGAAACAAGGAAACATTTTTGTATTTTTCAAAACATAAATCCTCCTCAAAATGTGAAATAATTATTAAAATGTAAGGAGTCACCTGTTTTTCACATTACTAGTCGCGGGCGATTTTACGTACCTAAAACGATAGATTACCAGATCTAGGCCTACTACTATAACTATAAAGTTACGCGCTTGTACTGGATCTACTAGATCTAGAGTTAGATACTAGATCTTAGATAGAACCCATGCTATTTCACTATTTCAGATTTCTGGCATCGAATGACGATCACTAACGACGCAGTCCTGATCTAACTAAATGTCAAAAAGTCAAAAAGAAATTAAAGGAACCGAAAAAGATTTTTCAATCAACGGTCTAATTTCATTTAAATAATTTGTTTATTGTCTAATTTCATTTAAATAATTTACTAATTAATTTATACATTTAAGGTAAATGCGCTATTTTTTTGTAAGAATATCAAGCTTAGTAAAGTGTTATTCATTTATGACGTCCACAAAAATTTCGAACTTAAGACTCTCCGCCCAGTCCATACGTGTCCACTTTTGACCAGAGTTTCTTCCAGACATCCCCGAAAAAAGTCTACCCCCCCACCCCCGAAAATTTCAAAAGCCCCCCCCCCCCGGAGAAAAAAGTCTGGAAGAAACACTGCTTTCGACGAACCCCCCCCCCCCCCCCTCCATTGTGGAGGTCCGCAAAAATTAGTAAATCTCTCAAACTATGCTGCCAGATTACTAATTCAATAACTTGAACTGCTGTGCTATTAATTGCTAATGTAGTATGGGTATTTGATATTTTGGGTAACATCTAGAATCTATATTACAAGACCTAAAACATTAAAAGTAGAGCCACGAAAGTGTTGACAATATAGAATATAGGTCTATTTTACTGATCAGATGGCGATACTAGAATTTATAGCGTAATTTCCATACTGGGATTGCGATTATTAATTCATTATTTCTGGATGGATGGATGAATGAATGAATGGATGTGTGTCCGTAGCTTTAACGCAGCTTTAAGTCGTATCTCCTCCTCAACGAAGCAATATCGAGGACTAGTTCCAAAGCAAATATGTTAAGCAAGTTCCGAGGATGATTGTGGGCCAAAAAAAATCCCGGAATTCCTTCCTGTATTTCCCGGAAAAGCCAAAAAACCTTGAAATTTCTGGATGTATAGATGTGTGTCCGCAGCTTTAAGTCGTATCTCCTCCTCAACGAAGCAATATCGCGGACTAGTTCCAAAGCAAATATGTTAAGCAAGTTCCGAGGATGATTGTGGGCCAAAAAAATTCCCGGAATTCCTTCCTGGATTTCCCGGAAAAGCCAAAAAACCTCGAAAAAAATGCAGTTTTTGGCTCATATCTCGGCAACCAGACCACTTAGCGACTTGAAACATTTACCAATTGATTCCTGCCATAATTTAGAACAATATTGCCGAAGAAAGTTTTCAAAAATACCCTTTAGTTGGGTCACAATTTTTTTTAAATTACATAAACACCTACAAACCGATCGTTCTCCTAGCTTGAACGCACCCCAGCATTATACGTCTTGTTTAAACTGAACATCGTGTAGGCCTACTCGTTAAAATAAAACTATTTCCGTTGATATATAACATAAGGTAATTGCGCTTAAATTGTCACTAGACTTTTTATTAACTTGTTTTCTCTTTAATACAGTGGATCTATGCAAGATGTAATGCAATCAAGTAAAAGTATATTATTATGTTCTTTCACGTTGAAGATGAGTGAATCGTAAGCATCGTACAAAGAACTGGCTATAGAAATCGTATATTACGCGTTAATACTATTGGTTTCTTTTCTAATAAGTGTTACACGATTTATCTTTTCCACTTACATACATAGGCATAAAGTGCCACCACCTTTTTCTTATTTTCTGATTTTTATCTATAGTCGATTATAATTACAGCTTGATGTTGTATGTTTTCTCTATCATTAGCAGGTTTACTTCATGGTGTTACCGCCCCCTTCCACCCATGTCGGGATATGTCACATTTGCTCTTAAAGACTATTTAACACTGTAATTAATCACTTAATAATTTAATTAAGTGGAATAATAATTTTCTGCGCAATGGTTTTTAGTCATGTAACTCTAGTGTAAATAAAAACATGTAAAGTACTATAATAATGCACTAAAAAGTAGAAGATAAACTAGATCTAGGCAGAGGCGTAGCGAGAGGGGTGCGGACCGCACCGGGTGACATCATTTAGGGGGGGTGACACCAAGGCAAAAAAATAGCAAAATAAATAGAGAAAAACTTGAGGGGGGGGGGGTACAAATCGAAAGTTTGAGGGGGGGGGGGCGGGTGGTGCAAATCGAAAGTTTGAGGAGGGGGGTGACACCATTAAGTGCGGCACCGGGTGACACCCGACCTCGCTACGCCACTGGATCTAGGCCTATACACTACTATTTAAATTACTATAAAGAAAAGCGTGGGTCTCTTCCTAAATTATAGTAAAGGTATCCAATAGATACTATAGTGGCCCACGCTTTTCTTTATAGTAATTTAAATAGTAGTGTATAATTTTTTTTTTTACTTTTTATTGCATTATTACATAAAAGCTTGTTATTAAAGTGTTTTTTTATGAATTTTTTTTATAGATCTAGATCTAGACTCTATTCTATATCTAGTATCTGAAATACCTTTTCTTACGGCAACAAAAATGCGAAACAAATCAGTTATACTGTCACGTGACCTAATTTGGCGGGGAAGTATTACTACCACTGAATAATATTAATACTTATCTTATAGGCCAACAACAAGCGATAAGCCGAACGGAGACAGGTTATTTCTTTCTGAAGAATGGAAAATATTGAACAAGCAGTTAGAGCCAACCAAGTAAAAGATCAAGTTGGTGAAAGATGTCAAAAATTATTTCAAGATTTTCTTGATGAGTGAGTTTTTACACAAATAATATTCTGGGCAGGGTAATCTTAGAAAATCTTAGATCTAACAACTAGAATCCTCTCTTTTTTTGGTAATCTATCGTTTTAGGTACGTAAAATCGCCCGCGACCAGTAGCGTAGCGGGGGGGGGGGGACATATGTCCCCGGGCGCCGACCTTAGGGGGCGCCAAAATGGGTTGTAAAAATTAATTGAAAGGTTGAGGGGGTGCAAATCGAAAGTTTGAGGGGGGGGGGGGGGGTGCAAATCGATAAGTTTGTCCCCGGGCGCCGGGAAGGGTCGCTACGCCTCTGCCCGCGACTTGTAATGTGAAAAACAGGTGACTCCTTAAATTTTAGAAATTATTTCACATTTTGAGGATTTATGTTTTTTAAAATACAAATACATTGTCATGTCACATACAAGTCATTGGTTATTCGGCGAGGATAAACCACACTAATCGTTATCCAAGCTGCGACCACCCCCATTTCACCTCTCAGGTTGCTTTAATAGACTTAGCTATAGTATTTACAGTGTAGCTAGTCTCATAACGCGAGTTGAATTACCTCCCCTGACCCGCTTTTTTATGGCCACTTTCTAGTTCGTTTTTTTCGATCGCGTCTCGGCACTGTTGCTAAAAATAGCATTCGCGCAATACCATACGGGTAAATCTGTTTGGCGTCTGCTACACGTGATAGATCGTTGAATGGCCGACAAGCTGATATAAAAATTATTGCGACCGGATGCGATTTTCGTGGAAATTGAGCTAGATTTAGCAAAAGATAGCTATATTTGTGTAAAATATTATTTATAATTCTACTTACACAGATATTTTGATAACTGCAGTTCAGCCGTCCATTTTTCTTTTAAAATGTATCTTTAGAATTTCTGTACCTTTTGGCAATCGGTCAGGAGCATTTGCGCACTAAACCCACCCCCCTACGGCAGTTCCGATTTTTTTCCCAGTGAACTCGTACTGACCTCCCACATAGCTAAGATAGAACATTGATTTTGATGGGAAAGCCTCTAAATCTGTATTCCTACTAGAGATCTAGAAATAAATCTAGATCATGGAGTTTTTATAATGACTTTTAAATTGAATGTCTCCAGTTTAAGATATTTTTTTTTCAAAACATAGCTACTTTTAGTACTATATTTAAGTATTTCAAACCCTTTTGGTAGTTTTTTCTTAAACTTAGACCTAGATCTAGTGATTAGATATCTATATTTTGTACTTATAACTTGCAGGCCTATTAAAATAATAATAAAACAGTTTGCTTGATAACTTCATTAGGTCATTTCATAAACACAAATGTTATAAACATATAAAAAATCACAAAACCATAGGTAATATCTGAATTCTGTAGCCTACCTTACATTTAGGCTAATACTGAATTAAAAAGAAATTACATTAAGGTTTGAAATTAATACAACTTGTAATTAAGAAAGAAAGCTTCAATTCCAAATACTACAAGATATAATAACAAACAATGAAACAAATTCAAAGCTTTTTTCAACCCATTTAGTCGAAAAGATTTTTATTTTTTCCGATACTGACCAAAATAAGTTTTTAAAGCTTAGGCCTAATGTTTTTACAAAGATAACTCAATTTTATTAGGCCCCTGTAAACATTAATTAAGATTCCTCTGTAGACAAAGCAATCTATTTGGCAGATGAAGTAGAGTTCATGTTTCTTGACCTCGGCATATGAAGTGATTGTCCGTGTGGTCAGCGATATTCACGGCCGCCTTTACTTTTTACCTTTAATTTCCCCAATGTATATCAGGTACCCATCAGAAATGGGTGGACTCTAATTGAATTTTATTAAACAAACATTTTGATATAGGCCTAGATCTATAATCTATAACATTCCAAACAACATCTGTTCTGTAGAATTTACCTTTCTGCTTCCAAATGCGGTATTTTCCAATTGAAAATTCATCACAAAACATACAATAAATTATATAAATGGCATTTTATAAATTTATATAAACTATTTACTTTCACCTTGGTGTAAAAGAATGTAGGTATAAGCAAACTGATTTCAATAGTAAGAAAGAATCATGTCTTTTCTTGCTTACTAGCTTTAAAACAAGTGAATTTGACTTTTTACCTGCGTTTTTGGTCGCGCTTCTATATATTTTATTTGCGACACTAAAAAAATTATATTTAATCAACCAATTATGCTAAATTAATAAAATTGGTACTGTTGGATTGCATTTTTAAAGCTCTACAATTATATGCTATTCTTTTTATAATTTGAAGAAAATTGAATTTTTATGAGACTAACTATACAGTGTCCCGCACCTATGTAGAAACTATTTATAGTTAACCTAATTATAAACTGCTTTGATTGGTTGGTTTTATTCGTTGATCCCGGACCTAGTGTTTTCATCAGGGGGAACTGGGATCACCGGCTGACGTCATACCTCAACTTAAAAGTTTAAAAACTTGTCTTCCAGAAGGTGAAAACAAAAGAATTTTACCTGGATATATCTAGAAATGGACATGCGTACAGCAGATACCGGTAGTTTCGTATAAAACATCCAAACAATTATTATACAAAGCAATAAACAGACGATGATCGCTTTGTGGCTTGACCACGCAGTAAAAATCTACTCTAGTAATAGGCTACCCAGTTTTTTTAAATTAAAACTGTCAGTAGGGGGGGGGTAGCGGATACTGGTTTTCTATATTTTTTAAAGAATTTTTTTCATTTTCGTTTGGAGGTGAAAGGGGAAGAAACAGTTGAGATGCCTGAAGAAAATTTATAGGCATTGTATAGGCCTAGATTAGGCCATTCGATTCACAGCTTCCGGTTTGTTGTTTTGAAGTCATCTCACGGCTCATGCGCTTACCAAAAAAGGCGACCAGTTTCGCTTTCACTGTGTGGTAGAGGGACAAAACATAATAATGATTATGAAACCATCGGTAATTTTAAACATCGGAACTATCCGTTTCTATTTAAGTCCGTCCATTAGTGTGTGGGTGGTTCTGAAATCATTTCTTAGTAAACTGACATGTGATTTTTAATAAAAATTTCTTGACATGAACTTAGTATTTCACAATGGTTCTATTTTGTCATAAATATTAGCTTGGTCATTTCATTCCATTAGGTTTCAAATAGATGGGGAGAGTAAATACTTGTCAGCTGTCCAAGACTTAATAAGACCAGAAAGAAACACGCTGACTGTCAGCTTTGAAGATGTAGAATCTTATAATCAACAGCTAGCAACAACTATTTTAGAAGAATATTATAGGTAAGTAAAAAATCCATTTTATTTCTATTTTAGAAAAGAAGTTTTCCAGTTTAATTGGGGAGTACTTTTAAAAGTATATTTTAAATCATTTCTTTTTTTTTTTACCCTTAAAGATGTTTTATAAGACGATCAGTGATATTTTGAATTTTTTTAATCTGCATTTTCAGAGTATACCCGTTTTTATGTCGAGCTGTGCGCAATTATGCAAAAGATTGGGGCCAAATTCCAACAGGGAAAGAATTTTATTTAAGCTTGACAGATGTACCAACAAGATTAAAGTAGGTTACTACTAGATTAATGTGTATGATAGTTTTTAGAATTTTCAAAAACACAGTTGATTATAATTGATTTTTGAAACTGTAAATGATTGATGTTATTTCAGGGTTAGAGAGTTAACAACTGTTAAAATTGGATCCTTGCTTCGTATAACTGGTCAAGTAGTCCGTACACACCCTGTTCATCCCGAGCTTGTCAGTGGAACTTTCATGTGTTTGGATTGTCGTACAATTATAAAAGATGTTGAACAACAGTTTAAGTATACTCAGGTAATTTTATTTTTAAAAATGGCTTATGATAGATAACCAATCCGATTCCCAGAACTATCTTTAGGGTCAATTTTCATCAGTATTCAAAGTAACAAATATTGACTTAATATATATCAGTTTAGTTGCTTAACAATCAAGAAATTTAAACTGAAAATAAATAACACCAGACAATTACATAACATTCAAATTGGAGGTTACACTAAATGCAGGTACATTTAAACATCCATGAAATTCACAAATTATATACTAATGTACTCTGTAGTGCTTCTTTACAATTTTCATCATTGAAGTTAATTTAAAAACTGCAAATAATCATAGGTACTAAGCAACTGCTCCCCAGGGGCTATAAAAAAAATGCTGAATGAATGACTAAGCATCTTTAGTGGGTGGTCACATTTATGCTTTCTTTCTGCTTGTTATACAAGTATGTAGTATCATAGCTTTATTTTAATTTTAACTTTCTTACAGCCTTCCATTTGTCCAAATCCAGTTTGTGCTAACAGATCAAGGTTTTTGTTAGATGTTAACAAGTCCAGATTTGTTGATTTCCAAAAGGTTAGAATACAGGAGACACAGGCAGAGTTACCACGGGGGTAGCATTCCCAGAAGGTATGAAAACCATACTTTCAATTCTTTTAGTTTATGTGTTATCTTCTGTATGGAAATTGGAGGTAACTATTTTAGCACTTTTGAGCCTCGCTTGTTAACCTTTTCAAACAGTTGATTTCACAACCATGAGTCAAAGTACACAATAACATGTATCATGTATAATGTTTCAAAATTACTAGCATAGCTTCAATTTTTTATATTTCTGGGTTTCTAGTTAAAAAAAAGAAGTTAAAGCCTAATTTCAAGCTCCTGAATATTTTGCTGCTTATATTATTTCACCAGCAGTAGTATTTCTGTTAATAAACTGTTAGTCTAGTGTTTTATATAACATCCTATTCTTAGCTGACACTGATGAAATCTAAAACAACTATTTTTTTAATTTGGTGAAGATAATTTGTAAGTTTTCATGAATTCTATACATAAAGCTTTTAAAAAATATATACATATGCACGGGTGCCACTTTCCGGGATATCTCTGATTTCTGGATTCAAGAATCATATTTTTTTTTTCCCTTTCCGGATTTGCAAGATTTGAGTTTAAAAATTTCCGGGTTAGCTGCTGTTTTAAAAAAAAATTAAGATCGTTTTAAGTCTGAAAATTTTGGCATGGTTAAAATTGTCGTTATCGTCAAGGCTCCCGCTAATGGCCCTTTCCGCCTTCACACATGCGTCGACAGTACATATCCACTTCTGTATAAACTTAGAGTTAACATTGTTACGCCGTCACTTTCGTGGCCTTTGTCTACCCGAAATCAGCAGATGTTTCTGTCACTGGGACCTTAGATGGTCTTCTAGGTCTATCCTAACTTACTGTAACCTCGCACTATAGTATAGTGGTGGATCTAGATCTCTAACTATTAACCAACAAGATTTCCTAATGCCAGTAGGTTTTTTTATTACGTTCGTGAAAACACTAACAGCAAATTACGTCACCGACAACCTCACGCGTGCGCCATGTTAGAAAACAAACTTTAGCCGTTATTTCGCGTTTAGAAATTTTTTTAATACATTATAGTAATTGATTGATATTTCTACATATTTCTGTATCACCAACAGAAGACAAAAGTGTGACTAAAGTATTACAAAGTATTAGTAACATAAACAATTGTTTTATATTTTGGTTTACATGCATGGGGGGGGGGGGGGGAGTTCTAGAGTAACATTTTATGGGGTAGGCCTAGAGATGGACTAACATTGTTAACTAATTTTTTTTGTATGCACAATCCTTTAAATATTAATTTTCATTTGAAGCTTGTTACAAGGAAAATAAAGGCATGTATATTGAACATGATATGAATCAAATGTCTAAAAAATTAATGAGATAATAGTCCATTTTATTTTGAAATTCCGCGCGAAATCAAGTTTCAGGGTTTTAAAATTTTAGTTTCAGGATTGGTAAAATTTTGGGATTGATTTTCAGGATTCATTTTAAAAAATGAGTGGCACGCCTGCATATGCTAATTTATTGTTAACGAATGACCTTTTCTACAGGTATATTAAATTATTTACCTACTTGCCTGTATATTTGGCATTTCAGTAACTTAATATTTTTTTTAAATTTAAGCGTGGAAGTTATTTTGCGAGCAGAGGCTGTTGAAATGGCTCAAGCAGGAGATAGATGTGATTTCACAGGGACACTTATAGTTGTCCCTGATGTTGGTTCAATGTCACTACCAGGTTAACTTTTTATTTTTATTTTCCCTTTAAAAATCTTTTAATTCAAGATTTTATCAACATAAAATGCAAGGAAGTCAAGGCAGGCTAATAATTACTAAATTTGTAATAAAAGTAGGTTGAAAAGCAAAGCAAGTGATATTTAAAGAGCATTACTAATTACTAAAACTGATCTGTATTTTAAATTTAGGAGTTAGAGCTGAAACTTCTGCTAAAGTTAATCAAGGTACTGAAGGCTACGAAACTGAAGGTGTGAGAGGCTTGAAAACTTTGGGTGTCAGGGATTTAACTTATCGTCTTGCATTTTTGGCATGTACTGTTATGCCCAGCAGCTCCAGGGTAATTTTGTTTCCTCTTATCTCTCTCCTCTTCTCTCTTTCTCTCTCCCCCCCCCCCCCCCCAATTAAAAAAAAAACACTGTTGACCAACTTTAACAGAAATGGTTTATCTTTGATTTTTCAGTTTGGTGGTCAGACATTTCGTGAGGAGGATTTGACAGCAGAGGCCTTAAAAAAGCAAATGAGTGATGATGAATGGCAGACTGTATATGATATGAGCCAAGATAAAAATTTGTATCAAAATTTTTGTTCTAGCCTTTTCCCTACAATTCATGGTAAGCTTCATTTTAGTTAACTACAGTACCAAAAAAAAAGCAGGATACTTATTTTAGAAATATAGAAATTGGAACTTTTCAAAATGTAAACGATTATTATTTTTAAAAAACTACAGGCAATGATGAAATCAAACGAGGGATTTTATTAATGATGTTTGGTGGAGTACCAAAGGTAACATTAGAAAAAACACATCTTCGAGGAGATATAAACATTTGTATTGTTGGTGATCCAAGCACAGCCAAGTCACAGTTCTTAAAACAGGTATGCACATTAAAACCACAATGTCATAATTAGAAACAAACTTGATAGCCTAAGTCTGAATCATAGCCTCTTATTTACATAACTTTTATTAATTTACCAGAGATTGACAATTTAAACACATTTTGTTAGGTTGAAGAGTTCAGTCCAAGGGCGGTTTACACCAGTGGAAAAGCAAGCAGTGCAGCTGGACTTACTGCTGCAGTTGTTAGAGTATGGCACATTTTATTTGAAAATACATTTTTTATCATTCTGATTGAATAACTAAAAGTAGCAAAGCAGATGCTGCTTAGATTTTGATTTTTTAGGTCAGGTTACTATTTTTATTTAAAAAAAAATTATTTTTAGGATGAAGAGTCTCATGAGTTTGTTATTGAAGCTGGTGCACTTATGTTGGCTGATAATGGGGTTTGTTGTATTGATGAGTTTGATAAAATGGATCCACATGACCAAGTTGCAATTCATGAAGCCATGGAGCAGCAAACTATCTCAATTACAAAAGCTGGAGTTAGGGTAAGGTGTAAAATTTATTATGTTCTTGTAAAAATTTGTAATCTTTTTAGGAAATAAATTTTATTTGAAGATGAAAGACCTGCAAGTTATAAGTAAGATGATGTTTTACAGGCAACTCTGAATGCAAGAACTTCAATTTTAGCTGCAGCAAATCCATTAGGCGGACGTTATGACAGAACTAAATCATTGAAACATAACATTAACATGTCTGCCCCTATAATGTCGAGATTTGATTTGTTCTTCATTTTGGTAGATGAATGTAATGAGGTATGTTAACCATTTCATAAATGTTTTAAGGATAGAACATTTTAAATATGTAATGTTTTTCCCCACGTTTTCTTTAACTTGCTTTCTCTGTGTCTTTCTGTGTTTGTTTGTCTTTCCAATCAAATCTTGCGATCGAAATTTCTGGCACTTCCCAGTTAGCTAGCGCGCTGAAATTTTCAGGGAAGCTTTCTTTTGGATGACCATAGAATATGCAATTGTTATTATTACTAAATTGATCAATGGAAACATTTTATTGAGCATTTTAGACCGCTATATAATCTATATATATAATTCTCCTCTGCGAGCCATTAGAAAAAAAACCAGCGACGCGTACCTCGCGTGCAGTGAAGCGAACGATCCCACGTTGCCACAGGCTTAGGGGCAAATAATTTACTTTGAACCGAGTTTAAACTTACAGGATGTAGGCCAGTTTGGGGGAGACGATATGGTCGAGTGGTTGGGCACACGATTGCTATCCCACTCGACACGGGTTCAAATCTATGTGTTCTAGTCAGTAACGTATTCACACAACGATTTTTTTTTCGAGTTGTCTTTTTACGAGTTGTCTTTTTACGAGTTGTCTTCGTTTACCCAAAAAAAAGTGAAAAGATAAAATCGATAGCAAGATTTTAATGCAAACAGTCAAAGACTAAAAAGTAGAAAATAATAATCATTAAAAAAGTTTTTAAAAACCCACGTTTTCTGATTGAACTAAAAAGTAGAAAATAAATACTATACATCACAATAATGCAAGCGATCACTCTACTATAAGCGATCAAAAACGTGGGGCGCCGTGATTTTCTTACAGTTTCTAATACTGTTGACTCTCTACAAGCTCCCTAATAAAAGTCAATAGTATTATCTAATCAATAGTAATATAACTTTTACTTCGGCGCCCCACGTTTTTGATCGCTTATAGTAGAGTGATCGCTTGCATTATTGTGATGTATAGTATTTATTTTCTACTTTTTAGTTCAATCAGAAAACGTGGGTTTTTAAAAACTTTTTTAATGATTATTATTCAAAAATCCAATAAACTCATCAGACAACATTTTCCAGTATTCATGGATGTAGTAAGTCAATACTAGGTGATTTTAATTTACTTATAATTTACTAATAATTTATAATTATAATTTCTCATGGGTAGCTTCTCTTAGTTTCACGCAGATATGTTCCTAAGATGATCTCTAAATATTACCTATATTTGTAGAGAAAAAAATTGTTTTTAGTTTGCTTAGTAATTAATTTTATTTTTTTACAAATATGTTAGGTGAATCTGAATGTTTACTGCATTGTTTAGGTAACTGATTATGCCATCGCTCGTCGAATTGTTGATTTGCACAGTCGATCTGAAGAATCCATCACCAGAGTTTACTCAGTTGAGGATATGCGTCGATACATTATGTTTGCTCGTCAGTTTAAACCTAAGGTAATTTTTTGTTGTGTATCTTGTAGTGAATGAGTTTAGTCCAGTTCTCCCACTAGGTTAGCGTAGCTTAGTTCTGTACAGTTAAATTGCCACTGTATCTTAGTTTGTGTACTTGTACGTGTATTTTTGTGTTAACAATCCATTGTTTCATTTAGTCTTGTTTTGTAATCAGTTTGTGGTTGTTGGTCTTATATGTTGCGCTATGCGCTGGATAACCCATAAAGTATGTTCACAACATATAATTGGTGGTTCCATCTGTGATTAGTTCTGGACTGTTTTTTGTGTCTACCCATGAAGTTAGGTCTATTCTCGCTAGTGTGTACAGTGGTAGAGTTTTAGTAGTGTCGTTAAACTTTGGTCAAAATGGACACTGAGGAGAAGACTGAGAGAGGGGAAAGATACCTCTCTCGTGAAGCTCATAGGCTCAGGTTAGGACAGGGTCCGGCAACATGCCCTCTCCCTTAAAGATGCTGCAATGCAGTTAACCATTTTCTGCCCTGTTCATCAGAACTAATTTCCTTCCTCTGCAAAAAGATGACGCATTTTTCAACCATGGCACTTTTTCAAAATATAATTTTATTTAAAAATAACTACTTGATTTAAGCACAAATTAAAGCAATATACACAAACCTGGTCCAAGTTGCATGAGGTTAAATAGCTTCATAATTTACTAATAATTAATAAAAATAACAATAATCCCAGAATAACATAAACAAAACACTACTTCTAACATTATTTCTATTAAAAAATCATTTTAAATGTCCAAATATAAACGTAGTCACTTGAGCTTCTTTCCTTTTCAATAGTTAAATTATAACTAAAGCATGATTCAACTGCAGAGGCATTTTAATTAGATTTAATTTCACTAATTATATTGCCTGTAATTTTGAGAGAAACAATTCTATAAAACAAAAAAATCTTAGAAAATGAACCACAAGTGATAGAACAATCAGAAAACAAACAAAACTTATTTGGCGCTTCCGACGGTATCTTCAAAATCTCGTTACCATCAAAACTTCCACTGCTACGCGTAAATTTTCGTACTATACACAGTAGGGCAGGCACATCTGCCTGTAAAGGGTTAAATGCCATCGAAATCAATAAGTTGGAATTGGAGATGTTGATGTGTTGATGTTACTAAAGGATATGAAGCCCCCTCCAACCATTGGTGCAGTGGCTATGAAGCCATCCGTGTCAACATTATCTCAAGAGAACCCAGAGTTCTTTAAAAAATTGAAAAGTGAATTTATTGTCAAGTAACTAGCAATATAATATATACACATACTTCCACTTCTTCAAACCAGATCAGCCCAGAGTCACGAGATTATATGGTCGAAGAATACAAGCGCTTACGTCAAAGGGACAGCACAGGGACAGGTTCGTCGTCATGGAGAATTACAGTTAGACAATTGGAAAGCATGATTCGCCTTTCTGAAGCAATGGCTAGGATGCACTGTCAAGATGAGGTGAGTTTTATTAAAACTGGCTACCATTTTTCACTTGTCTGTGTTGATTTTCTTTATGAATATTGTTCGTCGTTTTTATTTTTGTCTAAGCTTAAAATAGTTAAGCATAGTAATGAGATTGCAAGAATACTATGCTAAACATTTTAATCTTATGGTCATTGATGCATTTCTCACTTCTCTAATCCTTAATAGTAAAAGAACAGCAACTGAGTAGCAAAATACTAGCATAAGAGGTGGCTTATGTGCTGTGTATGTATGTCATGAGGTGAAATAAAAAAACACAACCAGGGCTGCCTAGTCATACATTTTTGCCCGTAACTTTACGATTTTGACACCCAGGTTACGGAATTATGATTATGCCATAAAGATTACACTTTTGCAATCAGTTATTATCTAGCAAAGAAATTTTTTTTCTGGTGGTAACTTAATGTTCCCGGTCTGAGTTTTATATTTAGCTAGTTAAAATTCCCCTTTCCGCCCATGTCATGGGAGGCGGCAGTCGTGTCTATATTGTGAACTATTGACCCTACGAGTGGTCTGTATTACCTCAGGAGCCGGTGCTATCCGTAGATTAAAAAAAGATAGTCTGTGGCCTAAATTATTGATAGTCAAGTCGTGCATGGAAAATATCTCCATTAAAATTAAACCTACTTCTATATCTACTTTTTTTTTTTTTTTTTCAAGAAAATAAACAGGTTGTAAATAATAAAAGAGTAGCCTAAACTATGTAGACATTATTATAATTATTCCACTTTTTTTTTAAACAAAAAAATCGTGTCCTGTTCCGCCAACCTTTTTTTTGTTGAAGTTTGTTCAGCTTTTTGAAAGAAAAAAAAATTATTAAAGAAAAGTAATCGAATTTAAAAAACAAGGTAATTAAAAAGTCTAGTGACAATTTTAGCGCAATTTCCTTATGTTATCTAAAAATAGCTCTGTCGTAGCGTAAATCAAGAGCAGGGTTGGTAAAACCATTGGTTAGTTATTAAAACGTTTTTTATTAATTTTTTTCAGTATTTTACATGTTTTATTTACAATAGAGTTACATGACTAAAAACCATTGCGCGCCTACTGAACGTAATGGCGCAGCCATGGAACGCGATGGCGCAGCTATTGAACGTGATGACGCGTGTGGTGTGGTTGGAAAAAATGCCTACTAATTCGGTCCAAATTTTAATTAATTCAAAAAATTTTTTGTGACCGAACGAAAGGATATTTTTGAAAACTTTCTTCGGCAATATTGTTCTAAATTATGGCAGGAATCGATTGGTACATGTTTCAAGTCGCTTAGTGGTCTGGTTGCCGAGATATGGGCCAAAAACTGCATTTTTTTGAGGTTTTTTGGCTTTTCCGGGAAATCCATGAAAGAAACCCGTAATTTTTATGGCCTATGTTCATCATGGTAACTTGCTTAACATAATTGCTTTTGGAACTAGTCATCGATATTGCTTCGTTGAGGAGGAGATACTACTTAAAGCCCGGACACACATTCATCCATACATTCATTCATCCATCCATTCCCAGAAATGACGAGTTAATAAACGCAATTCTCCAGAATGGAAATTGCGCTAAAAAGAGCAGGAAAAATCAATCATCTACCCTTGACACACGTTTCCTAGTTTGCTCTCAGCTTTAATTCTTTTAACCATAAAAAGACATTAAGCTTTATGTATTATACTTTTGTTTTACTAATTGAACTGATTATTTGTCATTTTTGTTTGTATTAATCACAGGTTCAACCTAGACATGTCAAAGAAGCATTTCGTCTTCTAAATAAGTCTATTATTCGTGTTGAACAACCAGATATTCATTTAGAAGATGACTTACAAATGGCACAAGAAGAAATTACAGTTGATGAGAATACAGGTTTGTTTAAAAACACTCTTTTTTGTGTTAAATCTTATAACAATTGAAAAATATTTACTAGCATTGTGTTTTTTCTAAGTACCCACAGAAAAATCTCAAGAGATTATTTCAAAGTTGCCAGATGACGCCAGCATTGAAAGTGTTGCTGTACCTCCCCCTGCTGCTCACTCTAAAGCAACCATGCGATTGACATATGAGGATTACAAACACATGGCTAATTTACTGGTCCTACATATGAGAAAGAATGAGGAAGAATCAGGTTTGTTAGCTCAGATAATTTATTAAGAAGTCTAGGAATCTAAGTGACATAAAATAAAATTTCATGAATTTTTATATTAGGTGAAGATGAAACTGGTCTTAGAAAAAGTGATGTCATCAGTTGGTATTTAACTGAGATTCAAGATGAAATTCAGTCAGAGGATGAATTGATAGAAAAACGAATTTTGGTTGAAAAAGTAATTGATCGTCTTGTTCATCATGTAAGTTGTTACTTTCATTTGAAGTAAAAAAAAATTTTATTAAGGGAAACCTTGCTTGTCTGAAGCTACTTAGCATACAAAATATGTTTATAACAGAAAAGTGAAGTTTACAAATATCCACAGATTTCCAAATAAATATTTCCATGAAACCTGCCCTCAAGAAAATGCTTTCAACCTTCACACAAACTAAATATATTGTACTTGTGCATTTGAACAGCTAGGGTTGTTCTAATTCGCTTATTTTCATTTTGGAACTAGAGGTAAAATAAAAAGCAAAATTGCCTTAACGCACATGCCCCTTTGTGCTTTTCTGCCAGGGATTTCTAGGTGTATTGGAAATACTTGACTTCGTAAATGTTTTTAGAATTAGAATTTTTTAAAAAGTCTTCTCAAAAACATAGGTTATACTGCAAACATGGGCAGGGATATTCCTGTGGATCCCTTAATCATTCACAATCACTTTGGTTCCAATTAGCTATTTGCTGTAGGACTATATTAATAGAGGCTTAAACTAAAATACTAGACATGTGAACATATCTGAATCTGTTGGGGGATTGTGTTGCTAGACCTAGTGATGTTTTTAGGTGGGATCTATAGATGAGCAGTTTTTGCGTTTGACTTTTATCTCACATTCATAACTTCAAGTTTTGATTTCTATTACCTACAAGTAATAATTCACTAACATACATATTTCAGGATCATGTGCTGATCCAATTAACACAGACAGGCCTTAAACCTCGGACTGGACAGGAGAGTGAATTGGTGAAAGAAGATGATCCTATACTTGTTGTCCACCCAAATTACATTATTGACAGTTAAATCATGTCATGCTATTAAATTTTGTACATACTGAAAATGCTACTTGTAATATTTTAAAATACTGTATTAGTTTCCTCTTGTTCTTTTTGTATGGTAGTAGTCTAAATAATTTAACTGGATTATTTTAGTAAGAACATTAAAAACACAGCACCCCATTACAAATATTCAATTACCAATTCAACATTTATTGAAGTAAACAATTTTCACATTTTAATATAAAAAAATTCAACTGAAATTGATTTTTCAAAGGAGCCCAATTATCACTTGTTACCAGTATCAATTTGGCAATGTTTACCAATACACAAAACTGTTGTAGCTAAAATAAAATTTGAAATGAATGTGCTTTTCCTCTACCTGCTAGAATTGGGCCGAAAATGTCCAAAAATTTTAATGAAATTAAGATTCTCTACTTGCTAGCTAATTGTCAAACGTCAATTTTTTAATAGTTTTGTATATGGTTTGGTAAAAAAAAATAATTAAAATGAATTCACAATCATAAATGAATTGCTTCATTATTGTTATGTATTTATTACTATTGTACCAGTTGCAACGTGGATTGAAGAAAATCAATGATACGCCGCTATTTAGTTTTTTTTTATTTTCTACTTTTCAGTAATTCATAATTTGTGAATTCGACAGTACCAATGCTGCCACTGAAAATATTTGCTTTAAAACCCTATCAGTAGGTCGTTAAGAACAATACTACCCTCACCCGTGAAAGCAGCCTCCTCTTAGTTACCTCCCCTAAGTTTAAAATCTTCAAACTAAATTATCTGCCCCTAATAGCCGTCACTAAACCCGGCTCTACACTCTACGATTGTAAACATTTAGCGTGAACCACAGCTCACCAGACCATGTAGGGGTGGGGTGGTAGGGAGCGCGCTTACAGCTTGTTTTCTAGCGTCTCCAAGAAGAGAAATATATATATATATATATAGATTTTTCAGTAGTTCATATTTTGTGAATCCGACACTACCAATGCTACAACTGAAAATAGTTTGCTTTAAAACACAATCAGTAGCTAGTGAAGGACGATTATCTCACATTGCACTCATCTTACCCCGTTAAAGTTGCTATCCGTGACAACAATGAATATTGTTATTACCTCCCCTTAGTTTCAAATCGTTTTCTTCTTTTCTTTCTTCTTTTTCGTTCTTAATTTTTAGTGTTGAAGTATCGAGTCTTATCTGACAGGGTTTGAACTCGAGAGACTATTTCGAATTTATCAACCATGAGCTTTTATGACAATTAAGGATACGTGTCTTTTTTTGGATTTGCTTCCATAGTCTTTGTCCAACCAAGGACAAACTACAAGGCCTCATCTGCCCGAGGGTTCGAACTCGAGACTTTTCGGTTTAGCAACCATGAACTTTACCGACTCGACCACGCCGACCCCTTCCAATCGTTTAATAACTAAATTATCTGCCCCTAATAGCCGTCACTACGATTGTAAACAGCTCACCAGACTGGTGGGGATGGTAGTGATATGGTCTGTTGAGCTTACGTCTTGGTGTCTCACATGGCCCCAATGAAGAGTTATTTATACAGATAGAAGATGGTTACATCAATTCTATATTCTTAGACATGTGACCTTGTTTTCTAAAACTGGTTATTTAAATGTTAACAATGCCTGCACTTAGGTCATTAATCGCGCGGGTTTACCTACACTACCGCATGAAAGCCTTGAGTGCACTTTTATCAATCAACGTAATAGTGAGGTAGAACACACTTCTGTGATTGCCCAGGACGTAGAGGGGCGCTCTCAGGAGTCCCAGCCCGTATGGACGCAGAGTACGGCCCATGGCTCCTTAAAACTAAGGTATGTGCAACGGTGCTCAGAGGATAACCCAGGGCGCCAAATAGCACCATGCAGAGGCGCCAGCGGACTCACTTGATTCAATTTAGTGAACGACTATAACGCCCCATTGTCGATCGCATTTTTTTTCGAACGTAGCGTTCACGGGATAGCCCGGGGCGTCAAATCACGTCCTGTCGGAGCGCCGGCTAACTCGCCTGATTAAATTTTGTGTATGACTATAATGCCCCTATCTTATCCAGTCTATTGCACTTTTTAATACTCACAGGATATCCCGGGGCGCCAAATTGCACCCTGCTGGGCGCCACCCGTGCGAAATTAAACAAATATTTCTTTGAAGAAACCTCACCTGGAGTGTTCTCATCAACTCGATCGGCTGAACTGTGCCAAACCGTGACTTTTTCAATAGCGAAGAATCGAATCGCGTCCTGCCGGGAAGACACCCATGCAAATTTGAAAAAGATTTCCCGCAGAAACCTCCCCAGGAGAATTCTCAACAATATCCCAAAGTTTCATGAAAGGTGTATTAATGCTTAAAATAAGTTAAGACAAACACATACATGGCTTTATATATAGAGAGAAATTAGTGGTTTTTTTATGTTTTGAATGTTTCCCATTTCTTTTATTTGGTAAGCTATAGATTAGAATGAATAAAATATGAAAAATGCGTATGGCGTATCATGTATAAGCGGTCTATAAAATGCGGTAGAAAACGTTCCCTAATGATTAGCGTCTGACGTCATCACTGCGAGGTGCTGATGGCACAAAAAGAAAATTTACCTAAATGATGATGATGGATAAGCCTAGACTCTATCCGCGCAATTTTGCTCGGGAAAAAAAATTGTGAAGTAAAATCCACTGAACTTTTTGTACTTCCAAATCAAAATTCCTGATTTTTTCCATTTTTTTTTTAACCAGCCCAAAAAACTAGCCATTTTCCAGACTTTTTAAAGTCTGAAATTCACTTGTCTAAATTCCAGACTGCGTTGAAACCTAGCAATTGTTGAAAATTTTTGTACTATAAAATTCCTCATCTGCTAACAGCTTCTATTTAGGGTGTGAAGTCTCACCATTGCTGCAGATGTTCATACTTGGTACAGGTAAAACTAGTGGTAGTGTTCATGGGTCATACTTTTAATGGTAAAACTAGTGGTAGTGTTCATAACTGGTTCTAGTGGTAGTGGTCATACTTTTACTGGTTAAACTAGTGGTAGAAATAATAACTGAAATAATGAGTGTTAAGTCTCTTTTATTATTGATTTTTCTTCTGCTTTCACCTGGTAATATTTATATCTACTATCCATGGATTAATATTTTAACGCCTGTCTGTTTTTCCAGCCTTTCTTTTACCAGAAAACAAATGTTTAGGCTTCATATTGAGTATAACTCTGTCTCCCTCTCCCTTTTTGGCTTGGTGATTACGTGGTTTCTGAGCTTTCTTGGCTATCTTTTTCACCTTCTTTATCATCTGTGCAAGAATCAAATCACATTCAGTTAGTTATAAATATTAAAGTAATAATGCTAATAGAAAAACAATGTACGTAGGATAAAACATTTGCACCATTTTACATTTATGAACAATGTTACGTTAGACATTCATTGTTAAATTTTATTTTCATGAGTAGCTTAGTAGTCTCACAAAGTGTATACATTAAAATGAATAAAATCTTACAGTATTATCTCTTAAACCAGATCTGTCCCTTGGAGTCCTTGACTTGCTTCTGGCTTCAGCTGCCTCGTACTCTGTACACTTTCTCTTCAATGGGGGCCGGCTGCTGGACCTGCTTTTAGCTCTCAAATAGTGGCTCTAATAGGACAGAAATGGTTAAGTTAAAATATATTTACATTTGGTCTAATGAAAGCTGCCCAACAGAGCTTTTACATTAATACTGTATGTAATTAAAGAAATCCGTATAATGACTGAGAATTTGAATAATTCTATCTAACGGACATGAGAGATAAGGATAAGATGAATTCAGCTGGTTGAAAAACCAATACTCACAGATTTATCCTTAGGTATGTCTACTCCCAAGTCTTCTAATTCTGTTTCTAACTGGGCAACACTTCTTGATCTTTTCACAGCACGAGGCATTCTAGATTTCTCAACCCTTCTTTTCTCACCAGATTCAATGGTGATGATTTTGCGTTTCTCGCGAATCCTAATTTTAAAAATTAGTAGTTAAAAAAATGTCTGAGACAAATATGTAATTTGCAGGGTCCCCAAAACTTTTTGGTCAGAAAATTCCCGGCTATTTTTTAAATAATTTTCACCACCCAAAAAAACAGTGCAAAACTGTTGAACACTAACTTGCAAAATTAGATGAAATAAAATATCAAAATTTGGCAGAAAAAAAAAATTCATTTAAAATTAATCCTAAAATCCAATCCTCTAATTTTACCAATCCTGAAACCTGTAGTTGAACAATTGCTATTTGAGATTGCCAGTGGCGTATTCCCCCCACTAAGCACTATCACACATGTACTATGAATTCATATTAACAAATCAGAGAATGTTTCTGCAAGGTGGCAGGGCAAGTTAGTTAGTCTTAACAGATTTAGTAAACTTTTGCAAACCCTCTCAAAATCAAACAGGTTTTAAAATATGGACGAGAAATAAAAATTAAATCAAGGATACCAGCTATCACGATGTTAGGGCAGGCTAACTTATTATCAGGGAGGGATTTATAAATGTTAAGTCGCACAAAATGATAGCCTGCTAAAAATTACTGTCTATTGGACAGACTACTGCATTCAAATAAAATTTTATACTGATCTGTTTCTCTATTTGTATTTACTGAATAAGTTGCGTGTGTGTAAAGAAAACTGAAATAAGTGTGAAATAGATGTTACGTCAATGTTGATTAACCCTAATCTAGCATATAGCCATGACACTTTACGGTCTATTAAAGCGGGATGGATGTACAAAAAAAAATTCTTGAAACTTGATTATAAAAACGATTTCTAATAAATTTGCAAATCCGGTCTGCAATACACCCCTGAAAAAATTTGAAGCTCTAGTTAAGCATCGATAAAGGACTATGTTATAATTGGTGCAAATACCATACAACAACAACTGGCGAGACTAGATTAGGCTAAATTTATGCCTAGTTAAATGACAAAAAAAAACTTGTTTACTTTCTAGCGGTCTTCCTCATGTCACGTGTCTCTTCATCTTCTTCACTCTCACTCATGCTGTAATAATGAGCTTCATCTCTGGCCTCTTCCTCTTTCTCAAGTTCTTCTAGTTTCTATTGATTGAAAATTAGTTACATTAGTTAATAATAACACTTTTTTGAAAGTGAGATTCCAGACTTATTTTAATTTCAGTATATATAAGGGCAACATATATATTTGGCTCCATAATCAAATGGAAGATTGCGAATTGGAAATTCAAGCACAATGCCTGGGCAATAGATTGAGAATGGCCAGATGTTGCTCATGAATTAGTGCCCCTCTCCCCAAGGCACTGGATGTTACCTCTATACAGTACAGCTAGGAATCAGCAGTGTAGCAAGAGCTGCCGAAAAGAAACCAGAGTTGGTAATCCAATCACCTAAGGGGTTTCACTCCTGTGTGATTTAGGAGTTCACTAGATGAGTTGCTGTCCCCAGCTAACGAGCCTCATCTACCCGAGGAAAAAAGTTCCTCATTAGACCTAGCACTCCATTGTGCAGATGAAGTTGATGTTTCCTGACTTCCCCATAAGAAAGGATAGCGTGGTCAGCATTCTGCCAAGCTGCTTTTACTTTCCCCAACGTCAGGTACCCAGAATAATTTTAAAAAGTTGTAGCACATTCACATGGTCACAGAAGGTTTACACACTGCAGACTAACTAGCCATTTCCTCTTCTCCTCACCCGAATAGAATAGTAACCTAGTTACCAAGATTCATATTTGCCATAAAAATTTGGAAAAAATATATCAATTTGCAGAAAAATATCTATATTCTTTTTTCAGTGAAAATTCTCCTAATAGGAAAATAGTGGATACCCTGACAGTGTAGTGGAGAACTAATCAAGCCACAAGATTTGGGATGCAAAAACTCCTTACGTTTTTAAAAAAGAAAATTTCTGCTTACAAACCCTGTACTTATTAAAAACAAGGTTGAGATCACATTGTAATTAACGTAAATGTATTTTTTAAACAATTCCAGACAAATCTAAATGTAAACAGCCAGAGGAAATAATTTCCTAAACTAATTAAGGTCTGCATAAAATGTAACTGTCCACAAGCAAACTAACAGGAGTAAAAACTTGTGTTAAACAGATTAAGAGTTGGGTCGTTAAAAAGGGATGCTCTGCACGGATGAACCAAATGATAAATATAGCAATTATATACCAACCTCCATAATTTCAGGGTCAATAAAATCAGCCACATTTTTTCCTTGCCAAATCTCAGGTATTACATCATATTTTTCATTATCATTAGGAAGAAGCCAAGTTTCTAAATAAAATAAAAAACAGAATCTATAGCATGTAACATTATAAACGACAAGCTAAATTAAATAAAATACTGATCTTGGGCATAATCTAACATTTAAAGGGGGCACTGTATTGTGAAAAGCAAAATCCTTAGACGATATACCCCCTTCCCCAAGAAAATAAATAATAGAATCATTTATCACTTACTCCTTAAATCCAATGTATAATCATCACCCATCTCTTGTTCTATCTCCCTTTCCTGGTGAAAGAAAAAAATGTAAACCAACACTTAGCAACTAAATTAAATTCACAAAGCACAACAAAATCATAACTTTATTGAATGGTTGCCAATACAAAACAATTTTAAAGAGTTTTTTTTTTTATACCTACCAGCTTCCTACCAACTTTGTCTACATCCATTGCATTTTTCTTTTTAAGTATACTCTGAGGTATACAGGGTGGTCGATCCTAAAAAAAATATTTTTGAAAAATAGGATACCTTGTTACTTTCTCATTTAACTTAAAAACAGAGGATATCATTATCATGGTTGGCAATACTGATTCAAAGTATATTCATTTTTGCTTTACCGAAAGATTATACTTATATTAACACTACGTGAGATGGCAACTCAGGATATAGACATGATTTTTAATCAATTTTTTATTACTTAATCTTTTTAAAAAGAATAGAAGCTTGTAGAAAAAAGAATTGCGCACCAAGTGAACAGCAAACACGTGTGTATAATAGTGCGGAATATTACTACATTAGCATTTTTTTGAGAAATGGGAAATAGCGTTTAGTACTACTTCCGGTCCATGGAAATGGCTCAAAATTTGAAACACAGAGAATTAGATATTTTACTTAAACATGAAATTTTGCTTATCTATCTGAAACAGTATTCAAGTTATAAGCTTTTGAAAAACCAAAAGTAGAATAAGTTCCACTTCCGGTTACCGGAAATAGCTGAAAAGTTGATAGAGAACTACAAATTTGATATAAATAATACTTGTATAAAATTTCATCAACCTAGATTTAACGGTACTCAAGTTATTGTGTTCACAGACATAGGGGTCATCCATAAATGACATCCGCTTTTAAGATGATTTTTACACCCCCCCCCCTCCGTCACAAAAAGCCAGACCCCCCCCCCCCCCCAAATGACATCACACCTCAGCCTACAACCCTTCTAAAAGTTGCAGTTAATTTTTTCTTAAAAAAATATTTTTTTTTGGAAATCTTGTCTGAACTCTGTCAACATAGAGTATTTTAATCAATTCCTATTACAATTTATTAAAACAGTTTTCTAAAACGCAAAATAACGGCCAAAATTCAATTTCTAACATTGCATTTTTATAATGCAAGAGTATGACACCACACCATCTGAAGCCCCCTCATCACACATCGCCACAAAATTACGGACACACCACCTTCTACAAGTGTGACAGCATTTATGGACGACCCCATACACACAGACAAAATAGCAAAACTAAGTTTTTTCCAACTCAGCAAGGTGTAAAACGGCGAGATAGAGTTGTGAAAACCCCAAATTTGATTTCTTGCACGATTACAATACTTCCTCTACAAGAAAGTAAAAAGTAACAATTTAACAGTGAATTAATTTGATTTACCTTATCATCTCTTTTCTTAGGAATAGCTACATGTAGCCTGTTAGATACAGTTGCCATTTTGTTAGATTTCATTTTCTGCTCTACTCGAAAAGCAAGGAGTCTCTCACAAGCCTACCAGAGATAAGAAATTTTAATCACTTTATACTTATCTATATATTAATACATTTAATGTTACAAAAATAGAAAATAACATACTTCAGTCTTAACAGCTATTACACCATCTTCAGTTAGTGTGCTCATTTCAAGTACTGGTTCGCCTTCACTTTGGAAATCCACAAGAACTCTCTATATGGAAGGCATAACAATTGCATTAAACAATTTCAATTTATTACTTTGTTTTCAATCAAAACAGAGAGTAGTAAATTCAGATTTTATGCACAAAAAACAGAAATAGTCCTAAGAATAAATATCCAGACCAAAATAGAAAACTAACCTTTTTGTCCTCTGAAAGTTCATCTGGTTTTACAATATCTATTTTGTTGATAACTATCAATATAGGTCTGTTACTGAAAGATGGCTTGATGTTTTTATATAAAGCCAACTGAAGTGAAAAACAAAAATTAGTTTTAGCATTGTTATTTATACTTATAGAGAGAGTTAAACTATTACCAACAAAACTTAATAAATAGCTACATGCCTGCTCCTCAAGTGTGTGCCCACACTGTTCAGAAATATCCACTATATATAAGACAACAGCACGGATGTGAATGAGAGCAGCAACTGCTTGCATTTCTATGGAGTTTCTTTCTTCAATTGGATGATCAAGAATACCAGGTGTATCTATTACCTGTGAAAATATTTAATAAAAAAACAACACCTAAAACATATTACACACACCGGTTAACAAATATATTAAAAGTATGTGTTAACCCTTCATAGTGAATACAGTGGTACTTTGACATATGAGATTTTATTAGAGCTATCATGCGAGTGATTGTTTTTTAAGTTACAATCAAAATTTCCAGTTAATGGAAAAGAAACACTGAAAATTGCTACCGATCATGCATAGCAGCTATTTAATGAAGTGTCTAATTTCCACAACATTTTGGAACAGAGGAAGATACAAATCTCAAAATGTTTTGTTTTAAACAGCCAGCAGGTGAAAGTAAGTATATTAATCACCGACAATTTAATTGGTGAAATAATTACTAATAATTAATGCCTCTGATGATGAATCAGGCTTCAACAATAATGTAAACAATGTAGTGATATCACAACTGAATGTAATTCCAAAGAATAGAAAAAATGTTTTTTAAGTTCAAGATAATTTTTAATTGCTTTATTGTTAAAACTATAAAGACTAAAAATATAATTAACTATGAATATTGTTTTGTTTTAATGTACAAAGGTATTCTGGTAAATATAATATCTTAGTAAAAAATGTCACAAAAAACAATGTCCAGGTTAAGTATCAAGAACTTTTGAAAACAAATTTAATTTTCAAGTTATTCATTAAAACTTATACCAACCTGCCATCTGAGATATTTATAGTCAGTGTGGCCTACATACAAAGACTTTGTAGTAAAAGCATAAGGTTGCACTTCCACATCAGCCCGGGAAATCTGTAATCAAAAGTTTTTTTTAAATTTCAAATAATTCCAACAAAGAAAATACTGAACCGTAACTCGTATACTTTTTTCAGAAATAATTTGAGATTACATCCACACACACAAAAAAAAAACCAACCAGTACCAAAGTATTCAAAGCATAACATTTATTCAGCATGGATGTGACCAGAACAGGAAAAAAAAGTAGGAAATTTTCTTCGGACAAGAATCCAATATGTTTTAACTATTTTTTTTATCGCAGCTAAAGTAGTCACACGATACTGTACTAATTTATTGTTTAATATAGATAATATTTTAAATAAAAGAAGTTTATGTTACTCTAAAATAACACTGCAAGTCTTGTCAAATTGCAATTCAATGTTTGTCTAACAAACAACTTTAAAATTATTATTTTTTTTTTACAATGTAAAAAGTGGCAATTCAGTTTTATTATAACATTAAGCTAATTTAAACTGTACTAATATTGACTGAGCTTGACCAACAAAGGGTATTTAAGTATAAATGTCAGAAAAATCTGCGAAACGAAATTTCTAAGAGTATTTGTGAAAAAGTTTTACATTTAAACTAAATAATTTTCCATGAAAACAAATGATTTTTACAGATACTTAAATGCAAATCATATAATTTCAGCCAACTAGTTCTTTGTTACAACATACTTTGTTTATGAAAGATGATTTTCCCACATTAGGAAATCCTGTTATTAATAAAGTCCTTGTATTTGGGTCAATAGTTGGGAGACGATTGATGTGTTGTCTAATTTCTTCCAAGTAAAGTAGATTCTTTGCCTGTCCCTTCATTATAGTCACCATTCTGATAAGAAAACAAATACTGTTGGCAAAACTTTTTAAAAGGCAAGTAGGCATTTTCAAACATAAAATAACATCAAACAAATAAAGCAATAAAAAAAATTCTAAAAAAAAAAAAAAAACAACAACAAAACAATTAACAACAAAATACTGAGAATTATTTGAATCAGCTGAAGTTGAAATAAAATAACACTTGTTCTCAATTTTATTGACCTTTAGCAGCCTTAACTAATTAGGGTATTCTGATATTCAAATGACAAAGGTAGATAATTACCTTTTTGGCAGTGTGCATGTCTGCATAACCTTTTAAATGGCCACAAATGTGACAATTCAACAATTGATGTTGAGTTACACATGTATTAAACTTAACAACATCTAACAAAAAGTAGGTAAATGTTTATTAAAAGTAAAAGCAAATTACCTGCCAAGAGCAGCTCTTTTGAGACATTTACATCTGTAGAGTGAGTCTCCGTATTTTAACAATTTAACATGGTCTTTTGCACAGCTGAAATAAAGATAAAAAAACAATAATGCACTTTTTTTTTTTTTTACAAAAATGCACTTGTTTGACAAAGGGTTCTTAGCAAATGCAACATTTTGTAAATAGAATGTTTAGAATAAAAAAAGTACCATGATTGCTTAAGAAATCTTTTCTATACACCCCCCTCACATTATAACAGACCTTATACTCTTAAATTTAATCCTGAAATAATTTTGATAAATGTTCCTAAAGTAATTTTACATTACAAACTAAATGTTAAAAGCTTGCTAATTAGTCTATTGCTCAGATATAAAAGTAACAGTGGATTAAAGTTACAATACAAATGAATTTGTAAAATTTTAAACATAGAATGAGTCATTAACAGATTTACAAGGTTGAACAGCTGAAAGTGGCATCACCCAGAAAATATAAAAGAAATTTGATGACAAAAGCGGATTCGGTGTGGAAATTGTTAAATAATATAGGGTATGGGCAATGGTGTTAGTCTGTCAATTCCAAACAATATTTGTAACTTTCATTCTCTTAGAACTTTGTGCAAGAGGTCAACTATAAGTCTCGAGCTGCCCGTTAGTGATCATTTAGATCCTGTGATCACTGCCTTCATGAATAGGGTGGCATGCACATGCAACAAAAAACAGTAGATTTCAAACAATGCCCCAAGTTAAGGATACAAAAGTAGCAGCACACTAAATGATATCCCGCAAATGATTAATTATAGGCCTGAATAGCAGTGGCTATTGTACTAAACCAAGTATGCATGTGTGAATGGAGCAAAGGGTCATAAGCGGTAAAAATGCTCTGAAGTCTTGATTAATAGGAAAAAATTATAGAATGCTATAATTTTCAAGCTTAAACATATTTTGATTTAAAAAAAAAAAAATTAAACCCAGAAGTGGTAAAACTCAAATGTGTATTCGGAATGGGAAAAAAATATTCTTGAATCGAGAATATCTTGGAAAAGTGGTACCCCTGAAAATATCCAAATTGTTATGGGAAATCAATCCACACACAAATGAATAGACATAAAAAATACTCTACTTACTCATCAATCAATTGTCGAGCTTTATTAATACCCCCTAGAGCCAACTTGTAATGATCAGTGTTGTAAAGAACATTCATTAATGTAGCATAAAAAGGGTGGAGATTCTAAAAAAAAAAAACAACAACAAAGCATTAAAATCAAGTAAATTATATCTTTGCACATGAAAAAAATCAGTGCTTGTGGCATGCCTACTTACTGAGATTATTGGAAACTCGGATATGATAAGCGAAAGCTTGTCGTGAAAAGTCTGTTGAGTGAATTTTACTTTTCTCATATAAAAATCTCTAATTCTGGAAATCTTATAATGCTTATGTACAACAGTCGGGGTCTTTCGTTGAGTTCTAGACAGCACTATATCAACAAAGTCCTAAAGAAAAGGAATAAAAAATAAATCTTTGTATGATTGTTTAAAAATGAAAAAATGATGCAGGTTAACAAATTTTAGATAAATATTGAAATTAATTAATTAATTGGCCTTATTTCAAACCATAAAGCTTGATATAACTAGTGGAGATTACGGTAAAACCTTAGTTAGCATCAGAAACTATCCAGTAATGTTAGTTCAGTTTCGTTAACTAAGTTACAGTAAACCATAGTTTATTTGACCATTGAAATATAAAGTTGGTTATAGGCTAGTAAATTAATGTTTTATTTTTTAAGTTTAATCGACATAAGGAAACAGGAATAAATATAATAGATTTAAATAAGTAGATCTAAAAACAAATAATAAAGTCAAATGTAGTAATTTGTTTAAAGTTTTTGACTTGCAGAGTTTGCAACAATCAATTAACTAGATCTAGCTAGCTGCTTGGCCTAGTAAAAATGATTATGAAAATAGTAAAAATTACTAGAACAATGTTTAGTAGTTGAAATATTTTGCAATACAAAATGATTAGGCCCAGTAAAGCAGTATTTAACATGCAATTAAAATCAACTAATCTAAACTTAAAATGTTTTGTATCAAAAATAAAACATGGCACTAAATAAAGTATTAGTATGGTTTACTTCCGGTGGATTCTGGAACAGTGTGACAGACTTTGCCATTGTTTAACTTTTATTTTTTTACTGCTATACAATTCCGGAATAATATCCGAAGCTAAACTAAGGTTTTACCATGATTTAAAAGTTACAAAAATGATTCAAAGTTTCATTCATGTAGTTGTTATGGAACACTTTGATTAGCCTAAAACTTTTCAATAATAAGTAAAAAATATTAGCAATGTTTTACATCAGAATTTCAGATGCAACCAAGCTCATTTACGTAAGCCATCTTATGTTGTTTTTTTTTTAAATTATAGTTGGAGATTCAGGGAAAACCACTTTAATTACAGATGGTCGCCGTTTAAAAAACAAATCTTGCTCTCAAACATTGCTGTTTAAAGTTAATTTCGGGCCAATATTGATATAGATCTATTAGGCCTAGTATTTATTACGAAGTGTCTACTCGGAATAAGATTTTTCGGCAAAAGATAGTTCTGCGCATGCGCAGTGACCTATGGCTAGGGTTAGGGCTAGAATGAGGGTTAGGGGTAGGATTAGGGATAGGGTTAGGATTAGGGATAGGGTTAAGGATAGGAATAGGGTTGGTATTAGGGTTCTGCGGTTGTAAACACACGCATGCGCAGTACCATCGAAAACATCGCCGCTAAGTCGTAGTTTCTCTCCATTGCGCATGCGTATCGCATGCGTATCTTATTCCGACTAGAATCGGCCTATTTATTATTTACTATGTACATTACTAGCCGCAGGCGATTTTACGTACCTAAAACTAGGGACTTGGATGACGTAGATTTTGCCCCTCTAAAAACGAGAGTTTTTTCCCCATACCGTAACCTAGTGAATTTAGCCGTGCGGCAGTGGGTGATAATTAAAAAAAAATAATTTCACTATTAATCACCATTGTTAATAGAAAAGTGTCACTTTATTCTGAAAGACAAATGGATTTCACCGATTGCTGTGTTATTTTTGTTTTTTTCTACTACCAGTGCGTGATGGTGTGTTTCAGGCAAAAATTGGGTAAGTAAAACTTATTGTTCCATAAAAATTTACTGTCGCTTTAGGCTAGAAATGCGATCTCCGAGCGTAAACACCATTTTTACATATGTGTTTCAAATTTCATTTAGTTATTCATTAGCGACGTATTTTTTTATAAATAACTTTGAAAGCATAGGGCTTACAACAGCTTAAGATTGCCGGAAAAGATCGATGTTAAAACCGGAAGTGGTGTGTTGTTGTTAATGACGCTATACAATGTAAATCTACTTGATTATCTAAATCCAGCAACATCCACATGAATCTGACTCCAAAAGCTTTTTAAATTATCGAATTACATTGGTTATTTATTAAACTTGTTATTTTTGATGACTTTTCATTTGTATTTTGTTGTTAGATTCATTAATTAGGTAATTTTAGGATTGTAAATAAGATCGTTTTTTTCTCTCAGTTTGCGATGTTTATTTTTTAAACAGTAGATTCTAGATCTAAATTGTTAACTTAAGAATTATATTTAAAAACAAAAGAATGTTAGTTATATTTAGTGTGCTTTTCTATACAAATTTCTTAAATGAACAAGTTAATTTTAAAGCTTAATAGTAGGCCCTATGGCTATTAGAAGTATTTGCATAATAGATGATAGGGCCTAGTATAGACCTATTACAGGCTATTAGACTTAGTTCAGTGAGTTTGTTGGGACTTAAGGTCTAGTAATATTTAAAAAATAAAATGAATATAGATCTATTACAAGTGTTAATATTTAATTCCAAATGAACCATAATATGTATATTTTTATTCGGCCTTCTACTTGATTTTTTAGAGCAAGTTTTTACTTTTTTATTACATAAGTCCTCTTTATTTATGTTAAACTTGTATAGGCCCTTTTCAATTATAACTCTAGGCATTTTCACTACTTACTTTATGTACATTTACACAATTTTCTGTGTAAAGCTACACTATAATACTGTATTTTTGCTATTTTATATTTTTCAGTTGGAGCTTTACTAGTCTTGGCGCTAGATAAAATGTACCAGTTCAGCAAGGGGATAGAGAATCAAAAGATGTGGTTCTACTCATAAGCAACTTCAATGAAGGAGAAATAGGTCCACTTAAGAATGGATGTTGCTGGTTTTTATTACAGTTCTAAAAGCTATCAGCCAGAGGAGACACAGCTTCAGTAGATGTTTAATCAGATTTCATTTTTAAATAATTGATGGTGTTATTTTTTAAAGTAAAAAAGTGACACAAGCTAATAGACTTAAACATGTTATCCACACAGCATGAGATGTCACTTAAATATATGACACATGTTTCTAAATTATAAAACTTACCTTTAACATTAAATGGTGATCTTTACTCCACCAAATAAAAAATCATTTCAATTATTAAATTATTTGTTCAACAATAATTGTAAATTAAATTATATCAATTCTATGATAACATACACATAACATGGATGAAATATCATGAATATTGACAACATTTAGATACAATTTTAGTAATCTAAAATCAGTTTAGCATTGTACTTCTTTCTTGCAAAAAAGTAGTTGCGCAGAACAAAAATGACTTTTTAAATTTGACCAACATTGTAACAAAACCACATAAGCTAAGTGAAATATTTTTACTTTGTGTGGATGTATACAATGTTGGCACCAATTAGGCCAATTTTCATTAAGATATTCCATATAATAAAAATTTGACAACAGATTATGTGTTGCTTATAGCAGAATTTATTGTTTAAAATTAAGGGGGGTATATGAGTTTAAACCCCTTTTTCATTAAATAAAATATTTTTAAAATCAAATTTGAACAATGGTAATATCAAAGTATATTAATAACCTTCATGTTTACAATATTTCTTGCATATAAGTTTGGTAATCTAAAATCAGCTCAACATTGTACTTCTTTCTTGCAAAAAAAGTAGTTGCGCAGAATAAATATGACTTTTTTATTTTGTCCAACATTGTAATAAAACCACATAAGCTAAGTAAAATGTTTTGACTTTCTGTTAATGTATACAGTGTTGGCACTATTCAGGCCAATTTTCAGTAAGATATTCCATATAATAAAAATTTGGCAACAGATTGTGTGTTGCCTATCAAAGACGCTTATTCAAAAATTTTAGGGGGGTGACCCTCTTTGTTAACATTATTTTTTATGATCATTCTCATCCACTTCAATTATTTTTATCTTACTCTTTTACTGATATCATGAGCTTGATCTTAGTGAATTTTCATTAAAAAATACCTGCTATTTATAAAGTTACAGAGATTTTAGTTCGCATCCAAAAAAGTAGGGAAGCAAAAAATTGAGAAAACCCCATAGTAAAAAAACCCGAAAATTAAATACGTTAAAAATTCATAACTCCGTAACCGTTTGAGCTAAAATTAAAATAAAAGTATCTGTGTTCTTGTCTAAATGAGCTCTATAAACTGGTGCTACTACATTATTTATTTTTTTAAAATTGAAATTTCATCCAAGTCCCTACCTAAAACGATAGATTACCGTTTAAAAACAGGTAGGGGCCTACATAAAAACTTAAAAAGTCATAGGGGCCTAACTAAATGAAATACAGAAACATTTTTTGTATTTTTCAAAACATAAATCCTCCTCAAAATGTGAAATAGGGGCCTAATTAAAAAAAAATATTAAAATTTAGGCCTAAGTCATTTTTAAGAAGTCACCTGTTTTTCACATTACTAGTCGCGGGCGATTTTACGTACTTAAAACGATAGATTACCTAGATTCTAGATATCTACTATATATCAAGATCTAGATATCTAGATCTAGATTCTAAAAAATCTAAGGTCTCTACTGAAAGTAGATTAGAGTGAGATTGAGCGATTCAGATCTTGTGACTGGTCAGTGCTAGATCTAGATTTCATGAACTAAAAATATTGATTTCCATACAGTACAATATTTGGTATACCCAATATTTATGTTCTGCTATTTTCTGAATAAAAATTAACGGAGATATTTTACATTACCTTATAACTAGGGACGACAGTTATATGTTTAACAATATGTGCCATCTTTGCGATTCACGTGTTAAGATGGAAAAGGGTACTCTATTAACCAAACAAAACGTAAAACTAACGCATAAAAACGGAAGTTGTTCTACAGATACACTTGGTAAAAAGTGGCAAGCGTTTAATAATTAAGTTTACTTTAATTTGATCTAGATCTAGATCTAGAATATAGTTTACTGCTTTACTCATACTTTTTTGCTGGAACATGTGCTGAACACGTAAATGACATTAATCACGCTTATTTTATAGTTTTAAGACAGAAGAATTTTGCTAACATGTTTTCTTTCGCGGGGTAGGGGTGGTCAATTTTATGTTCAGCCCACAGTTTTATGTCATCAGGTGGGGCCAGGGGCGTCGCGAGCAGAGTTTCTTTCAGGCATCTCTTCGGGGGTGGGTCCGCCGCCCCACCCGAAGAAAGTCTACCGCCCCCCGAACGAAATGGAATTTATATAGAAAACAAATAATTTTACCAGTGTCCGCCCCGGAAAATGTTGACCCCCCCCCCCCCCCGAAAATATCAAGTGCCCCCCCCCGGAGAAAAGAGTCTGGAAGAAACACTGGTCGCGACGGGGGGGGGGGGGGGTGTGGAAGTTCGGATCGCACCTCGTGACACCTATTAATAGGGGGAGGGGTGACACCAAGGCTGAAAACTATAAAAAAAAATCATTTATCGAAGAAAAATGCTTTTGGACAATCAATTAATGATTAATTAAAGATTTATAGTCCTGCCTAAAATAAGTACAAATTGACAATCCCGACAAAGAAGGGGGGGGGGAGTTAACACAATGACTTGAATTAATAGGTGGATTGATATATTGTGTGCACAAAATGACGCTATAATATTTGTCGAAATAGGAGGGTGGTAAAAGTATATATTTTCTATATGAATTCTATTTCGTTCGTTGGGGGGGGGGGGGGGGGGGGAGGGGGGAGGGCGGAGGACTTTTTTCATTAATTGAGAAATCTCTGCTAACCCGAAATAGATGAACTCTACTTCACTTGCCTCATGGACCGTCAGGTTTGAAAAGGGAACTTTATGTAAAAGCATTATTAAGCTAAATCATTTCAAGTGTGAAATCCTTTTCACTCCTTGTTAAGCCTAGGGTCTGCAGTTCGTAAAGAAGACTCCGTCTCCAGGTCTGTCTTGGACGCACTCTCTTTTGCTTTTCCTTGGAGTTCCAATCAAGCACCTGGCGTGTGATATATGTAGCTAAAATATCACTCGTTTGTTTTATTGTCATTTAAGTATTTTGTAAAAAAAAATATTTTTTATAATTATTGTTTCAAATAACAATGGCTCTTGTAATGTATTTATTCATAAGGTTTAAAAAAAACTTAAAAATTGAAAATGAATAATGGAAATCATAAGAAATAACAAATGAGCATAAATTCAATACAACTGATCGACTTTCCACATTGACAAATTCATTCACGCCCCCAATCATTATGGTCCTTCAAGTAAGTAAAAATAATTACAATAGATAGGTTAAATTGATACAAATGTAATTAAAAAATTTGGTATAGGGCCTACCCATAAAAGTAATCATCATTGTGAGCAAATAATGAGATTTTAAAATTCTCTCATAGACATCAAATTCCCCTTCCTGATCACCGTGGAATGTTAAAGAATGATTATACCTGTGCTATTTGACAGCTGAATCAAGTAGTTACACTGCCCCGCTGCGCCTGACAACCACCCACCCACCCACCCACCCACACACCCACCCACATATATATATATATATATATATATATATATATATATATATATATATATATATATATATATATATATATATATATATATATATATATATATATATATATATATATATATATATATATATATATATACGCCACCGTTTGGGATGACACCTATATAGGCCTAATGTAGTGCCTACTAAAATTGTAGGGGATTCGGTGTAATCCTCCTACCCCATGATGTCACTCTGTGCCTATAGTTTATAACCATAATACGTTATTAAACTGACAGGGAAAAACAGACTTCTCATTAAAATTATTTATTTCCCGCTTAGGTGTCATCCCCAGTGTATGGTGTCACTCGGTGCATTCCGCCGCACTTCCCGCTAACGTCATGTTCTCTTGTGACGTTCTCTGCCTCGCCAAACCTGGCGGTACCACTTTTAATAATGCCTGTCTGGCTCTGTTGTTATCGTTCTTTCTGAAGTCGTGTGTCTAATTTATTGTATAGCTGTTTTCTTTCCAGGAAATGTGTAGGCCTACACACATCTCGTACTTCTGCGTTTCCTGTAGCATCTCACAACATTAGTTTTAATCAGTTTTTATTATTCTGAGCCACGTTTGTTCTCCATGCTATTTCGTCACTATTTTGGTTGTCGCCCGGCTGTCTCTTCCAAGGACCCCAAAATCTTTAGGATACCTAAACCTCGATTATTTTGCAAAAAAATATATTAACTTGGTGGTTCCCCTTTGTTTAAAAATGTCCACTTAAAATATTACATTCTGAAAGTTAACGCAGGTCCCTTTATTATATTATATTATATTATATTATATTATATTATATTATATTATTATATTATATTATATTATATTATATTATATTATATTATATTATATTATATTATATTATATTATATTATATTATATTATATTATATTATATTATATTATATTATATTATATTATATTATATTATATTATATTATATTATATTATATTATATTATATTATATTATATTATATTATATTATATTATATTATATTATATTATATTATATTATATTATATTATATTATATTATATTATATTATATTATATTATATTATATTATATTATATTATATTATATTATATTATATTATATTATATTATATTATATTATATTATATTATATTATATTATATTATATTATGTTATGTTATGTTATGTTATGTTATGTTATGTTATGTTATGTTATGTTATGTTGTGTTGTGTTGTGTTGTGTTGTGTTGTGTTGTGTTGTGTTGTGTTGTGTTGTGTTGTGTTGTGTTGTGTTGTGTTGTGTTGTGTTGTGTTGTGTTGTGTTGTGTTGTGTTGTGTTGTGTTGTGTTGTGTTGTGTTGTGTTGTGTTGTGTTGTGTTGTGTTGTGTTGTGTTGTGTTGTGTTGTGTTGTGTTGTGTTGTGTTGTGTTGTGTTGTGTTGTGTTGTGTTGTGTTGTGTTGTGTTGTGTTGTGTTGTGTTGTGTTGTGTTGTGTTGTGTTGTGTTGTGTTGTGTTGTGTTGTGTTGTGTTGTGTTGTGTTGTGTTGTGTTGTGTTGTGTTGTGTTGTGTTGTGTTGTGTTGTGTTGTGTTGTGTTGTGTTGTGTTGTGTTGTGTTGTGTTGTGTTGTGTTGTGTTGTGTTGTGTTGTGTTGTGTTGTGTTGTGTTGTGTTGTGTTGTGTTGTGTTGTGTTGTGTTGTGTTGTGTTGTCTTGTGTTGTGTTGTCTTGTGTTGTGTTGTCTTGTGTTGTGTTGTCTTGTGTTGTGTTGTGTTGTGTTGTGTTGTGTTGTGTTGTATTTTCTCTAGAGCGTTCTTGTCAGATACATAGATAGATACACAGAAAGATACACAGACAGCGAAACTATTATTATAAATGTTTTAGTTTAAAAATAATTAAGAGAAAAAAATTGCTTTTTTAATCTGCTTAGTACAATACTATTTAAATGAGCTTTATTAGACTAGTTAAAAAGGAGCGATAAGTCAAGGAAGTGGTTTGAAGGTTTGCCTATCCTACACACCACAGCTCATTGGTTTTTTTTGTCTATTCAATATAGTCTTTGGGTTATTGTAGAACAGGGGTTCCCAACCTTTTTTTTTACTCTAGAGCACATTCTAAAATATCGGTAGGGTGGCGAGCACCACCTATTTTTAATCGACAAACTCCTTCCAGAGGCGTAGCGACCCTTCCCGTCACTCGGAGACAAAACTTACGATTTGCAACCCCCCCCCCCCCCCATTAACTTTCGATTTGGACCCCCCCCCCCTCAAACTTTCGATTTCCATCCCCTTCAACCATTCAATAATGTTTATGAAAAAAATTCTGTCTCTGTCGAATAGGGAGAGGCGGGCACATACGAATCGTTCGGCGGGCGCCATGGCGCCCGCGGGCACGGGGTTGGGAACCCCTGCTGTCGAACAATCAATTCTGTAGTATATCTGTTTGTATCTTACAAAACCACTAGTCTATCAGGGCTCAGGGTTGCAACATTTTTTGTTGTTGTTTTTGGTCGGATTTTGAGCATTGCGGGATCTGGCGGTATAGTAGTTTCGCCCCTGGTTTCACATATAAGTAATACGTTGTATGCGCATGCTTCTGTCAAATTTTGAACGGAAGTGGTACAAGATCTTATATATGGATTACTTTCAATTTTTTAGTGACCTCAGATAACCGGAAATGGTACATTACTCTATTTTTGGATTCTATAATACTAATAACTTGAGTATCGTTTAACTTTTGAAAATTAAAGGGTCAGATGTTTTTTTTTCTCATGGTATGATAGCAGCCAAGAGTGACATTAAAAAAAAATCTGCTCTCTCAACTATCTGCTAGATCTTGCTGTGTGTACCGTACTACTGTTCAAGGTATTTAAATTCAAAACGTAAGAAACGTATGCTACCGTTAGTAAAAACTGTATTTAGAATATAAAACCCACTTAAAAATATACCCTATGTAAGAAATAAAAGCCACTTTTATAACTGAGTCATCGCATCATTTCTCATTCATCTATTCTTTTTCGTCTTCAATATTTAATAGCTATTATGTTATAATGTTGTTATTTTTTTTTAAATGGCTAAAAAATAGATGCATATAAGTTAAAAATTGTGACTAAGATGGATTTAGTTCTAATATCTAAAGACATCCATATTGAAGTAATGTGACAAGGTTGAAGTTAGCTGTAAGACGTTCATATTTTAACACGTTTACAATTTTTTTCAAAGCGCCATAAAAATTCTGAAATCTGAGAATGTGCCATAAAAGAGCGACCAAGCGTGGTGATTTACCCTCACTGAATGCCTCAGTCGGGTCTACAGGCAGGTTAAATAATTCAAGCATTTAACCTTCAAGTGACGATTCCAAG